AGAACAGCTGAAGATAAAATGATAGACATTAGTGGAGAAGACAAATGGGACATGTGAGAAAGTAGGGGTTGCATCCTGATATTGGTAGAACTGAAGTCAAAAAGTACTAAATATGAAAAAAGACACTTTTTAACGAAAAAAGCCACCGTTTGCAATGAAGATAAAATAAAATGCAACTACTGGTATAAAGCAAAAAGAAAAGCATAAGAAAGGATATACTAAATATGAAAGCAGAAATTAATGATGCAGAACAGGGGTCAGCAAATTTTTTTCTATAGAAGGTCAGACGGTAAATGCTTTAGGCTTTCTAGGTCAGCCTGTCACAACTACTCAACTCTGACTCTGTAGCACAAAAGCAGCCACAGATACTATGTAAATGAGTGGCTTGGCTGTGGTCCATAAAACTTTACTATAAAAACAGGCAACAGGCCAGATTTGACTCGTAAGACATAGTTTGCTAATTCCTGATGTAGAGGAGAAAAAAAATAGTAGATCTAATTAATTAAACAAAATCTTGGCTCTTTGAAAATACTAATAAAATAGACAAACTGCTAGCTAACTTAATCTAGAAAAAAGGAAGAAAATGCAAATAAAGGGAGAAATAATCATTGAAACAAAAGAAAATTCACAAAGTTAAATGAAAGTACTTTGCAGACTTCTATGCCCATAATTTCGAAAACATAGATGAAATGGGTATTTCCTAATATACTTTACCTAAATTGACCCCAATGGACATAAAAAGCTTAAACAGACCAATATCCATAGAGAAAAAAGAGAAAGTTATCAATGAACTGCCACAGAATCTCTCTATGCTTAGACTGTTTCACGGGAGAATTCTACCAAACTGTGAGAGACCAGATACTCTGCTACATAAATTATAAAATAAAGGAAACCTTCCAAATAACAAAGGGCATAATAATGCAGGAAACCTTGTAAATTCTTTTTCTGAAGGAACAAAAATACTAATGCCTAAACCTGATAAAGGCAGTACGAAGAAAGAGAGAAAACCATAAACCAATATAATTATGAATATTGATGTAAAAATACTAAAGAAAATATCAAAGAACGGAGTCTCATAACATAATAATACGGCATGACCAAGTGGGATTTATTTCAGGAAGAGAGGGAAAAAGGCAGAGAGGGAACAAGAGAACAGGCAAAAGAGAAATTTAAAATTATATCAAATTAAAAAGTTACAAGGAAATAGAAAAAAAACTTATGGTTAGCTTTCCCTTGCATTGTATTAATAGTTTAGACTAAGAAGGAAGTGATCTTTTATCTGATTTCAGCCTAGGAGACAGTAGTCTTGGAGCCTCTTTTTCTGTACACATGATCTGAATACGGTAGTCCTGAAAAAAATGAGAGGAACCTATTGGCTCCACGCCATTTATCACCCATTTAGTGAAGGGCTCCAATTCCAAATCTTATTCATCTTTATTTACCCCAGGGGTATGGTCCTACCTAGCTGAATCTCCAATGTCATTATCTTAATTAAAATAAAATGAGTTACTCTCCCCGTTTTTGGCATATTTTACAAATAATTGGATATTCCATGTAAAATATATGCCAATTTCTGGCCTAACCAACTGCAAGTATGAGTTTTTTCAGGCTAATGGTTTTATAAGAGAAACAGGCTGACTTCAGACATAATTCTTCGACCACACAATACTGTTATAATATTTATCATTTTGTGGAAAAATATCAGAATGAATGTTAAGTTCTTATGATCCTTATTATCTTTTGTTTGGACTCGATTCTGTGAACAGGAATCAGTTTATGGGGAAGTTTTATAAGGTTGCCATAGATCTCACACGATACATGCTATTAGAAAAACCTGCAAAATAAACCACCTTAACAGTTATGGTATTCTACCAGGGCATAGAGGGGAGAATGTTCTGTCTCCCCTTCTTTTGATTTTTTTTTTAACTTACCAACACTATTTTAGATGTAACTAAATGAATGTAATCCTTTGCCAAAGAGGACAGAAAAACAAACATTCTCTTATTCATAAATGATATGGTTTTAAAACTCCCAAATAGAAACAGTCTAAATAGACAGTTGGCTTTGCAAAGTAAATATTGTCAGGGGAAAAAAAGGCTACAAATCAACTATTTTGAAAGCAAAGTTACTATGTAATATGTTAAGAGAACAAAAATTTAAGTGTAAAAACAAAAACCAAATATAGGGGAGGACAGTACTAAAATTTAGTAGACTGTATTAGCCCTACCTGAGAAAAAAGAAGGAACAGAAACAACTGGAATGGAAGTTTACCAGCTGAAAACTCAGCTGGGCCTGCTCAAACAGTAGGATAACTCAGTGGGAACTGGAACCCTGAAGCCTTATCTCTCCAATGCAGAAAAGGAACTGGTGGCAGGAAGGAATGCTTCGGTCAGTCCCCATCAAAGCAGCACAGACGGTTCAAGTCTTAGAAATTCAGTTCTAAAGAAAGGTGGGACTTGGGTGAAGAAAACCACTAACCTAAGACACTTCCTGGACCTCATTAGACCAGTGAAAGCACAAGGTCCAGAAACTCAACAGCAGCTGAGAGTAATTCTCCAGGGGAGACAAATGTGAAACCTCCTAACCAGGAAGCAGGACTCATAGGCAAGGCATTCAATAATAAGAGCCAAAGGAGTTCAGAACTAAAATAATTTCTGGGATCTTTCTAGGAACAGAGAAACTCAGAGGAAAGAACAGAAAATTGGGACAGTGAGGTGGCATGCAAGACAATGCATTTCACTTGAAGAGTTTCCTACTGTTCCTACTGCTATATTGTGGGTTACCCAGCTCACAAAGAAAGGAGGCTCCTTCGTGAAAGAGAAAGATCTTCAGCAATGGTAAAGGACTGTTAGAAACAGGGCTCAAAGGAGAAAGGAAAATGAAAAGGTTCTAAATACTTGGGATGGGCACCAAGAAACACCTGGAGCCACCACTACAAAGTTCTAAAATTTTCAAGCAAAGAGAATTTCTCTCCCTCCAAAAGGTATGGGAAGCCGAGTGTCAGACTGAATTCAAGTAATGTCATGAGAAGAGGTTATTTTCTAAATTACGTTTAAATACAAAGGTGATGGGCTCCAGACTGCTTTGTAACCTATAGAGGCTGAAATATCATATGCTAGATTCTACTTACTACTGGTAATTTGGGGTCCAGTAATAGTTGATTTGTAGCCTTTGATGGGGACTGCAAAGAAGGTAACAGTGGATTTACTTTCTGAACCTGATACCATGACCCCTGATTATACTCGAGCTAGAGTTTAGACCTCATCTCCTACCACTTTCTCCAACTCTGCTCCAGCCATACTGGCTTTGTCGATGTTCCTAAAACATGCCAAGGACATGTCTGTCTCAAGACCTTGTTGCCCGGTGGTCCCTCTGTGCATGGCTTACTCTCTCACTTCCTTCAGATCTGTGCTTAAATGTCACTTTATAATAAAGGCCTTTCCAGACCATCAGTTGTCACTCCCTTTGCCTTGCTTTGTTCATCTTAACACTAAGTCCCATCTAACATATGATATCTTTCCTTGATTGTTTATCTCTCTTCTTCCCTACCCCCTGGGTTCAACTCCATGACAGCTAGGACTGTTTTATTGCTGCTACATCATCAGCACCTGCCTGACACATAGTAGGCAGTAGGCAAGAAATAAAGACTTACTAAACGAACACATTTATATATCTATGGCGTTTGATAAGTGCCTGGACTGACGAGGCACTAGATTCTGAAAATATAATTTTGTTTTCTCTTTTTAATAACTTAATATTTAGTAAGAAGCAATAGATGTACTGATTAAGAATGAGGGGCCTAGAGCCAGACTGCCTGAGTTCAAATCCCACTTGCACATTTTGCTAAGCGTGTGACCTTGGAAAAGGTGCCAAACTTCTCTGTGCCTCATGATACTTATCTGAAAAATGAGAATAACAGCAGTGCCTTCCTCAGACAGTTTGGTAGGTTTGAGCTGATTCAAAGAGAGCACTTTGAACAGTGCCCAGCATATACTTAGTGCTCAGTAAACATACGTATTATCGTCATCATCATTATTATATACTGGGAACTGTTCCGAACATTTCACTTGTATTATGTCGCATAATGATCACTCAGAAGGTAACTGAGGCCCAGGCGCGAAAACAACATAACTAATCCTTTGGCTGTTTTAAAAAATTGAGGTGGGACATAAAATTAACCACTTTAAAATGTACAATTCGGTGACATTTACTACATTGACAATGTCGAGCAACCATGACGTAACTTTTCTTTTCTAAGGGCACTGGTGAGCATGGAGAGAGGCCTCAGCAAAGCAGGAGCAGGGCCCATCCCGTTCTACGGCTCTCCTTCAAAGCGGGTGGCCTCTCCACTTGGCAGCCCATAAATTTGTTTGTTAAATCCAATCGATTAAAGAACGAAAGAAATTGTAGAGACCTCTGTGTCCCTTCCCACGAGGGAGAGCTATGGAGTCGACAGAGCTGGCCTCTACATGGCTTCCTCACAAGGCCTCATGGCCTCTCCAAGGAACCTGACCTTCATTAGGCCCCTGTTCTCTATGTTGGGTTACTGTGCTTGCACACGGTCCAGTTAGGAGGCCTCCTCATCCTGCTGGTGCTGACATAGTGCAGCTCACATTTCTGATCCCCTGGAAGGTGGTTCTAGTTGTCCATAATGATGACCCTTAGGGCTCAGCTGTCTTAAATTTGGGGTGAGCGACAGGAGGCCTTACAGTATTCTCAATCCATCACCACCAGTCCATTCCTAGTCTGTATCTTCTATGAGCCAGAGCCCCCGTGGGGAAGGGGATAGGTGGTAAGATTCAGGCACCCCAAACCCTAGACAAAGTTGGTAGCTTGTCAGAACTAGAACCCAAGTCTCTTGATTCCCAGATTAGCATTCTGTATGCTCCCCCACATTGTACAATTCACATACTTCACTTATCTTGAGATACAAAACAGAAAGACATGCCCACCTACCTGCTAAATACTTAGTAATGTTTATCAAATATTACTAAGCCTACCTGCTGGTGCAGTTGTTATTCTTATTTGCACTGAGTGCTGCTCAGGAGATCTCAGTCGGGTGATGTTCACTGTGTATTCAGTTGCCGGATACAGATCTAGACACACTACAGAAGTTTGTTCCCGCGTTGTGAGGTTAAATGATGTTGCATGATAAAAATCATTCAGATACCACCTTCGACCCAGAACTTTAAACTGTCATGAGATTAAAAGAAAGTGTTGCATTAAATTTTCTGTTGCCTTGCAGATATCTAGACTATAAGCAAAATAATGATAGAGCAAAAAGGTTCCTTCTATTTATCTTCACTCACTTAGAATTACTTTTACTACAATAGCAGGCTAAAGTGGGGAAAGACTTTATGAAGTTACCCTACCTATCCTATTCGACTTCCCCCTGAAACAGTTACAGGGCTAAGCTTAAAACGCATAACTTCATCTCAGATAAACAAAATGTCAGGCTAGTCTAAGGTAATCCTTTGATGCCCACCCAGTGAAGGAGATTGCACTGGAGCTACTGGGCAAAATCTTTTTCATTTCTTTTCATTCCTAAGGAATCCATAGATAAGCCTCATGGAACAGAGTTTTTAAACTTTATGAGAACTACTCCAAATTATGCATTCAAAGCAACTGTGCAATGGAATTTGTTCTTTTCTAGTTGAGCTCTTAAGGATGTAATCCTCACACATGCTGTTAACCCAATCAGACTCTAACTGCCAACTCAAGTTGCAGGTATACTGTAGGGACCTATAAGGGAAAATATATGTAATGGTCCCAGAAGTAATATGATAAGCCCTTGATCAATCCGTGCACTTTACCTGGACGTTCATGTGTTTAGTGTTTCCTCTGATGATCATGTCACTGGCTATCCCATCCCCTATCCTTCCCCATCACTCATCCAAGACCCTGACACAGGGCTCACGGGGAGATTCCTCTCTCTCTCAATTCCTAGCATTCTCTTGAGTAACATAAAGGTCCTTCCTTATACGTAAGCCGTCAAAACCTGGCCTCAGAGTTTCTTGAGCTCAACGCTATGGATTTTTTCCTCTCCATGTTCGCAACTCATATCCACAGCCACATCCCAGACTGTGTCATCATTGTAACTTCTCCACCAAGATCTTCCAATCCCCAAGAAGAATCATGGTATTATATGGTTTAAATTTTTCTTTTTTTGCCTTCTAGTGAGACATAACGTGTTCATGTATGTTTTAGCAATGTGTATATCCTCCTTTGCAAATTACCTTTGAATGTTCACTTTCTAGATTTAAGAGTGTTCCACGTGTTACTTAAATTATTCTTTGTCTAACATATTAACAGTAGTAATATTTTTCAGTTTAACTTTTTAATCATTTTAGTGTAGGAGTGAAAAATTATTTATTTTCTTAACCAAGTAGTTAACCAATTGTCTCAGAACCATTTATTTCTGTACTTATTTGAAAATCATTTTTCTTAAGTGACACATTGCTTTAACAGATAATATAAGAGATCTTCTTACTTGGTATATTTGTTCTGATCCAACTTTCCTAGAATGCCTGTTCAATTTCAAACAAGCTTCATTAAATATTGAGATATTGAAAATTCCATCATCTTCTAAGAGATCATCTTCTAAAAAATAAGAGAGAACACAGAAGGTTGTATCATCTTAGGAAAACATTATCATGGCTAATTACAGTTGAAACTTTGACATCTGAAGAAGGCTGACAGGGTATTTAACAGCAAGAGTATTATACTTGGCTTCAAGTCCCGGCTCTACGACTTCTTAACTGCATGACCTTGGCTAAGACACTTAACCCCTCTGAACCTCAGTTTCCCAAATTGTGAAATCAAGTAATCCAGTTTGCTTTTCTTACATCATAAGCTGTTGAAAGAATCCAATGAAGTAATGCATATTTAAACATTGCTGTAAACTGACAAAACGGGGATTTTTTTTTTTTTTAGAAAGTTAATCCTATCTCTTGGATAGTCCATAAGTAAAATGCCATTAAGATAAACATTTCAATAGCCAGAAAATCTGAGAGTAAGGAAAATGGCGAATAAAGGCAAAGGCCATGGAATAGAACTCTCGGAGCGAGTGTTTCCTACTTAGGAGATGACCAGAAAGTAGATGATCAGAAAAGATGTTGGTTCTCACACTAGACAGTATTTGAAGAGCTACGCAGATGAGTGCTAAAGCAGTAAAACAATCAGAAACAGACTTATTTCAACCACTGTACAGAAAAAAGTAATTTCATGCCTCTTGTAGTCTAATTCATTCCTTCAATGTTCTATTTTCTTAATGTAATCAAAAAGAAGAGGTTTGTTAGTAATGAATAAAGAACTCACAGACAGCCCAGGAGTACCATGACTAACTTTCAAGGAAAAGCAAATTTCCTAACAAACAAGCCTGCATGCTTTCTACAAATGAGAAAAAGTTTAAATGCCTATCAGAGAAAAGTTTCCACGTAACTACCTTTTATGTATATTTCTCCCATGGGAATCTCTGCTACCTAAGAAGTAAGAATGATTACAAATTATTTTATTCAAAATCAGAGGTGTCCACAAAATTTTAAATATAACTGACATATGCAGCACAAGGTAATTAACTTGAAGAAAATATTCTTGGTTATAATAGGAAATGTAAAAATATGGTTATGAGAGTGAATCTGAAGACCTATGACATGTGCTCTCCTTTATCTTCACAACTTTTATTTTAAAGATTTCATAAGGACATCGGAAACAAAAATTGCCCTATGTATGCAAATGATTTTGAGACACATCAAATATATGTATTAAGAAATACCACACACAGTATCTGTCTATACACAAACAGAATATAAAGCAGAACTACTGTCTGCGTAGCTCCCATCTCAATATAATTTTCCCACTAGTAGCCATTATAGCTGGAATTCAAGGGAAGATGGCAATGTGAACAAAGGCATCTGGCTCCTACTTCCCACTCCCAAACCAGAAAGAGGTGACTAAGAATAGTAAAAATGGGTCAAAATTTGCATCGGGGTTGGTTGCCATACACAAGGCAGAAACATGAAGACATTTCTGCTTAGCATAGTGTGGAAGAGAGCGGATGAAAGAAAGGCATTGAGAGCTACTGTGCAACATGCCTTCCAAACAAAAGGAGCATAGTCTCAAAGTCTCAAAGGATGGAACGGGAGGAGAACTGGGGTCCACAGAGGCCGGGGCTAGAAGCAAAAACAGACCACGGGACAAATAAGTGATGAATACCCCTTCTGCAGCCATTTATCCCACTGGTTCCTGATCCTAACTGCACATCAGAATCACCCAGACGCAGAAGATCTGAAGTAAAGCTTGGACATCTGTATTCCTTTCTTTAATTCATCAGGCAATCTGATAGGCAGCCAGAGTAAAAAGTCTATGTGCTGCTGCTGCTGCTGCTACTACTACTACTAGTAATAATAATACTCCCTCTTTAGCATGCTGGAAATCTTCTAAGGGGAATCCTAGGGACCTGGAGGTTCCACCAGCCTGGGTTGGCAGAAGGAAGGACTTGGTTCTTTCCTGCTTCCATAGGGTATAACACCATAACAAAGCCAAGCAACGCTGAGCTGGCCCAAGAGCTACAACTTCACCAATCGAGATAGCAAAGTGTCAGAAACAAAGCTCAGGGCAGTGGGCTTTCTCACAGGCGCTCCCCCAAAAGGACACTAGATCATCCAACCAGCAGTAAATTCTTCAAAATGAGATCTGAGATTAGCATATTATCCAATAAAAAAGGAAGATCAAAGAGAATGCCATCCGTTTTATTATGAGAGAAATATCACACCTAGAGAAAAGTTTTATCTTCCAAGGATAAGTAATCTAGAAGGGGATGGCCGGGGGGAGGGGAGCCTATGAAATGATTCTACAAAGAAAAAGAAAGAGATTATGCTCAGGAGGCAAAGAATGAACATACTTTTGGGGAATCAAATGAGCAAAGTAATGATAAAATTAGGCAATATTTATTTTATACTTTCAGCAAAAATTTTTAAAGATTAAGTCACACAGATAAAGGATGAGATAAGTGAATGCAATAGCTGAGAGGACACTGGTTGAGAGAGGCAGAAATAAAAAGGGAACTAGATCAGACAAAGAAACAAAGGAAACGAAAGTGTAACAACAGAATTAAAAGTACATTAGAGCCAGATGGGAGGAAGGTTGGGAGTGAAAAAGGAGAAAGGATTAAGAAGTATAAATTGATAGTTACAAAATAGTCATAATTACAAAATAGTCATGGGGATGTAGTAAAGTATAGCATAAGGAATCTAGTCAATAATATTGTAATAACTATGCAAGGTGTCAGATGGGTACTAGATTTATCAGGCTGATCACTTTGTAAATTATATAAATGTCTAAGCACTATGTTGTACACCAGAAACTAATATAATATTGTATGTCGACGATAATTTAAAAATTTTTTAAATTATTAAAAAGAAAATAAAATGCATTAGAAATAATAAAGATCATAAATGATGATGCATACATGCATAAATGCGTACAGAGAACAAATCTGCCACATACCCACAGAAGGCAGAGGAAGAAGACATGGATATAAAACAGGAGAAAATGAAAGACCAATGCAAACAGATAAATTCCACACAGGAGTATCTGAAGAGCCAAAAAAAAAAAAAAAAAAAACCCATGAAAAAAACAAAGCAATAATCAGAAATTTAATGAAAGAAAATGTTCATAATGTGTAAATAGACCAAATTCTGAAGGTCCGAAAACCCACAGGGTATTAGGAAAATTTAGTAAAAAAGAAATTAACACTTATATCACCCAGGACTGAAGTTTCACCAGAGAAGGGATTTCTGTCTCATTCACTGTTGAACTCCCAATACCTAAAACAAAGTCAAACACACAGTAGGTGGTCAATAAACATTTACCATGTGCATGAATAAGTGATTAAAGTCTTGAATTTCACACGTAAAGAAAGCCTCTATGATATCCAGGCTGAAAAATCAGATTATCTACATAGGATTTTTTTTTAAAATCACACTTTCAAATTCCTCTTTTACAACTTTAAATTCCCAAAGCCAATGTGAAATGCCTCCAGAATTCTGACAACAAAGGTTATGGCCCAAGAATGTTATCTTCAGTCAAGCTCTCATTCACTTGTGAAGTCAACAAAAAGATATTCTCAGATAATCATGGGCTCAGAAAGTATCCATTCCTTAGCAAGGAGAAGATGGAAATCATTGTGCAGAGAGATAAATAAAAATGTGGGGAAAAAATAGAGAAACTTTTGTATGAAAAGACTGGCAGTAAGCATTGAAACTATTAAAACACATACCCGTTTAAGTAATTGTTATAAATATTGCTATAAGTCAATATAAAAATAAATTCTTTAAAGATGTAAAACAAGTTAAAAGTAATTAAAGATAACAATCTGGCAACAAAATGCCATGTTAAAATAATAATGTAAGAGAAGCTGGAGGGGAAGAAATAAAAGGAAATAAAGAACACTAACTTCCAAATCTTATTCAAGGAGAAGTTAACACTGGTAATTAGAAAAATAAACACTAAAATAGGATTTTTTTTCTTTGTTTTTTGACTTAATGGAGATTATTTTTCTCAAAACTCTGGAGTTTGGAAGTCCAAGGTTGGTTTTTTGTTTGTTTTTTAATATGTAATGTAGATTAAAAGCAAAATCTATACTGTCTGAAATAGAAAATCTGTATAGCAAAAATAAAATAATGGATATCGCAAAGTAGCTAAAAAAGAGAAAAGTAAGATGACAGAAGAAAGGAAAATTGTATCACAACATTAATGAAAGTTGCTTAACTTATCTGCTCAAAAAGCTTTTCTCAAAAAGTTTTCTCTACATATGCAGTCTCCTAAAGTACATCTATAACAATGTTATCCAGATAGCTTTTAAGAACAAAAGTGGGTGAAGGCATGCTGTGCAAGCAGAAGCACAAAGAAACCAAGAAAACCAATTTTACTAATCAAAGTATAAGTCAAGGCAAACAATATTAAAACAAAGTAAACCATTTGTTACTAGTGCAAATTAGAATTTACAATTAAGATATCAGTTATGAATATAAATATCACGATATCAAAATGTGTGACACAAAACAATTAGAATTTCTAAGAGAAATTGAGAAAAATGGCAATCCAAGTAAGGAAAAAAAAAAAATTTCCCAGAAGTCCTGGAAGTCCTTAATTATAGAGCTGCCTTAAGACTAGATTTAACTCTACCGAAGCAAACATTCTGCTTTATTTTTCCTATTACAGTTGACATACAATATTATAATAGTTTCAGGTCTACAGCATAGTGGTTAGACATTTATATAACATATAGAATAATCAATTTGATAAATCTAGTACCCATCTGATACCATGCATAGTTATTACAATATTATCGATTATATTCCACATGCTGTACTTTACATCCCCATGACTATTTTGTAACTACGAATTTGTACTTCTTAATCCCTCCCCTTTTCCATCCAGCCCCCTCAATCCCCTCCCATCTGGCAACTTTCAGTTTGTTCTCTGTATCTATGAATCTATGAATCTGTTTCTGTTTTGTTTGTTCAATTATTCTGTTTTTAGATTCCATATATAAGTGAAATCTTACGGTAATTGTCTTTTCCTGTCTAACTTATTTCTCTTAGCATAATACCCTCTAGGTCCACCCATGCACGTTGCTGCAGATGGCAAGATTTCATTCTTTTTTATGGCCTAGTAATATTCCATTGTTTTTATGTACCACCTCTTCTTTATCCATTCATCTGTTGATGGATACAGGTTGTTTCCACATCTTGGCTATTGTAAATAATGCTGCAAAAAACATATGGATGCATATGTCTTTTCCACTTAGTGTTTTGGGTTTCTTCAGATAAATATCCCAAAGTGGAATTACTGGGTCCTTCTTTGTTTCTTCTAGATTAATGTGCAAATTTAATCCAATTCCACTTAAAATTTCAGAAAGAGGAAAGCAGTCTGGAGACATTAAAAATCTCAGCCATGGTCATCCAACTCTTCAAGGCAAAGTTAAGATGCAAAACCAGGTCTGTCTGACCCCAAAGTCCATGCTTTCCCAGTGGAAATTAACTTGAAGAAGTAATCAGATACTAGTAAAAATAGCTGACACTGAACAGCAAATTGAATAGTGACGGATGAGTCTGAAATCCTGGGATGATCTTTTAAAGAAGACATATTCCCAATAAATTCAAAGCAGTTTGTTATTAATTTCGTACAAACTTCTCTAATTAATTACTGTATTAATATCTTAAAAAGTGAACAGACTTTTTAAGATATTATAATATCTTTTCTTACATATTATTTACTTAGAAATCATTTTGTTTTATTTATATACAAGCACCCAGGGACCTACTTTGTGTAAGCTCTTAGTTGGCTTTATATTAAGATTGGCAGTTTTTTTCAATTATTTCTACCACATCCATATTACTTCCCATTCCTAGTGGCAGCAATAACTGAGGATTGAAGTACATTTTCTTAAGCGAGATATCAAACAGCTGATTGAGAACTACCTCAACTCCCCCCAAATAAAAAATGACCCCAATGGCTTCTCAGGGTTTTGCTTATAAGGTATTTAATTAGTCCTAACACCCTGTAACCAGAATTATTTGAAATGTTATAATTGTCATAATGTTATAAAATTCCATGTCACGACTATGTGCAATGAGGTTTATTACTACTTCATGAAGCTCCTTCCTGTCGACTTTTCTTTTCACCCAACATTTACCCTCCTGCATCCTAGGACTGCCTCCTCCTATCCAGTTGCCTGCTGTCAACTTGATCACCCAGCCCCAATTAATCCTGAGGTCAGTTCCCATCCCAGATGTAAAGCTGATGGATAGGCATCCCTGGCTTCTCCTCTCTCATAAGCAAGAGTAAGAAATGACCTATGCATTCCCTACCAAAGACAAGTCATATGGCTACCCTCTTTTGCCTTGGATAACTGAGAATTGACTGCATCATCATCTAATATGCTCCTCTTTTAAATGCCTTGTTATTACTCTCCACTTCAACTAGAGGCCACAGCTGAGAGACAAACATCTCAGAAAGCAGCTGTGAACTCTGTCGTCAGCTAATTCTGAAGCACGTTTCCCCCACATCCTGTGCTTAGTGTTTTGTAGGAGGAAATGAGACTTCACCTCCACCTACCAGCTGTCTGGAACCCAATGATGGCTGGCACAGAGCGTCTGGGAGGGGCAGTGGAAATGCTCACGGTGTAGTTGGTGCCTGGGTACAGATCTAGGCACACTTCTGGGGTCCTGCTGTTGGTGGTCAGGTTGACTGTCTCCTCATGAACTGATTCCGTAGGGTCTGCCCGGTGTCCTTTTATGTATACCTTTGTGAGGGGAAAAGACAAGAGAACATACCAGGACTCCAGTTAAAACAACCGAGAGACTTTATCATGCTAGATCCTATTCTCCTACCACTGCACACTGCACTGCTCATCCAGGAGAGAGAAATAAGGTAAACCTCTGCTGTCAGGTATCTGATGATGAAGTCTGATCAGGCCAGTAATCGATAAACCCTAAGAAGTGATATAAAATGAGGAGCCCCTCTAGGGAGTGCTACCCTGCACACAAATGACCAACGATCAATGGAAGCAGCCACAACCTAAGAACCACTCGCTGCATCCTGTCACCAAGTCAGCAGACGCTTCTAGGCTTACTCTGGAGGAGTGAGATACAAGTGCCTGGAAACAAGCGATAATGAGGACACCAAATATAAATACATCCCCACACACACACCCTGTCCAAATATATTAAACACAAAATGTGAAGTAAAATAATCCAGATATCTTAAAAAGTCTGTTCACTTTTTAAAAGGATGATGAGATTGGAAAGTAATTAGACTAAGATGCTCTTCCAGAAGCAAGTCCCTCCAGCTCGTATTCCCATGGGTTACCATTTCTGCCCTAGCAGAAAAAAGTAGATCACTTGCTTACCACATATGGCAAATATATTACACACAAAATGTGAAGTAAAATAATCCAGATATCTTAAAAAGTCTGTTCACTTTTTAAAAGGATGATGAGATTGGAAAGTAATTAGACTAAGATGCTCTTCCAGAAGCAAGTCCCTCCAGCTCGTATTCCCATGGGTTACCATTTCTGCCCTAGCAGAAAAAAGTAGATCACTTGCTTACCACATACATGATCTGGTTGTTTATTCTTCCTGGGTTTACTTGCCACCTCATGCAGGTGTTATCAAACACTGATACATCATTAATTTCTGTAATTATTTCTAAAATAGAAAAAGAGAGAGTCCACTCACAAAATGTATCAATGGGCTTTTGGAAAAATCTTAATGGGAACCATTCATGCTTTGATTCAGAAACTGATTCAGGCCAATCACCCAATTTATCTTCATCACAATTTATCTTCATCGCGAATGGTCCATGACCTGACTTGAGGGAAAAGGAAAGATTCTTGCTCGAGTATGGGTAAGAATTCCAACCTGTGATTGGTCCGAGAGGCCACTGGATGCCACTGGCGTTCTACTACTGCCAGATGGAAGGAGACCCACAGCTATGCCCTGAGTCTTCCCTGGAGCTGCACAGGTAGGATCTGCTTCTGGCCTCTTCATCCCACCCGGCTGATGGATCACGCTTATTTTCAGGTCACTGCTGTCCCCAAGAGGGAAATGACATGCACCACCACACAGAACTGTTCCTTAGGAGCAGCTTAGGGTAAACTAAATAAATTCTCCCTGGATACTTTTGGGAGTCTTTGAACTGAAACTACTTAATCCTGATCTATCAAGAAACCACTGATTTCTTCGAGTTGTTCTGCTTCTTTTAAAAATTCAGCATATATTTCATGTAATGAAATCGGCCGCATGGGAGGCCATATTGGGGTCCTGGTTCCCCGAGGAAACAGTTTCCAGTGGACCCACTTAACTGTTTAGATGAGAAGAGGGCAAGAATCTAGCTTTTTATCTATTCCCTACAGATAAGTAAAATTATATTTGCAGATGACACGATCTTGCCTATAAAAAAAATCCTAAAGAATTCACACATAAGACTAACCAGAGCTAAGAAAGGAGTTCAGCAAGGTTGTAAGGTACAAGGTCATTGTCTAAGAATCAATAGTATTCTTGTACATTAGCAAGGAACAACCCAAAAATGAAATCAGGAAAACAATTTTATTCACAATAGCATCAAAATAATAAAAGTCCCTGCAGATAGATGATCCCATACTATCATCCCTGGAGGAGAAACACCACATTTCACCAAACAGGAGTATCTCACTGCCTGAATTCAGGCTTTCCCATTGAATCAAACATCCCTTACGGAGTATTTAGAACCTCTCAGCTTCATCTGTCCCTCTCCAGCCCTCCATGGGTGTTGACAATATGACTGTGTCTTGACTCCCATTCTGGGGCTTCCCTGCTGGAGCACCCACACCTGACTGAGCACATGCAACCTGAAAGTGCAGGTGAATTAACATCCCATGGGGACAGGAGACAGTAGATAAATATTCCCCCTATCCCTCTGCCCCTTGAAGGGCAGACCTACAAAGACCTCTCAGGGTGCTGCTGCACAGATGCAGGAATCGCTTGCACCTAGTGGACCCAGTGTAACACGGCATCCTGATATCGGCTCTTCTTCTTCCCCTGCTTGACTTCCCGGGACATCATTCCCTATCATATGATAGACACCTTCCTCCCCTGCTTGACTCCCCTTCACCCTCCCTACTGCTTCCCGGGACATCATTCCCTATCATATGATAGACACGAGCCCTCTGCCTCAGGCTCCATTTTCTGGAAAACTCAAAGAAAATCTCTCATCAAAAAGAGTGAGAAAGATAATTCTCCTTCTCAGAAAATGGCTCTCCTCAACTCAGCTCCAGTTCCTCCCTTCTAGTAAATCTCTTTTCAGCCTCCAAGTGGGAGAGGAAGCCTGCCCATTAGGCACCTGTAGGGTTCACTCATTTCTCTTCTACTCAGAACCAATGCCACCTTTGGATAAACTGTAGTCTACTGATCTCTTGGACGATTTTACACCTTGACTAAATCATCCCACCAGCAGCATTACAGAGATTCTATGTCTCACATTACCTAGTCTTGGGTAAGCCCAGGTCAGCTATCAGTAAGTGAGAATAAACGGAAGTAGAGAGGAAAACAGGCAAACTCATGGAGAGACGCTAAAGGATCACCTAGGGCTGTCTAAAGCATTCCTGGGTCTCCACTTCAACTTTTCCCAGAGCACAGAGAACTTGAAATCAAAGAAATACTCCAGTTGCGAACATAGGTTCCCTAAGAGATGTAAAGATCCTATTGGTTCACCCGCTTGGGTTGTATAAAGATGATGGTGGCACCAGGGTTTTATCAGCTTACACGAGCCCCAAATATCCCTGGCCCCTTCCCTCTCCACTGACCCTCGAAACCCTTAAGCTGAGGACTCCTCTGCTCACTCACACATCCCTCTGATACTAACTCACCTCCTGGTCCAGAAGGAAATGGAACCCTCCCACCCCTCACCACCTTTGAGTTGCCAGTAAAGCAAATTTCCTTTTCACTTGGGCCCCCTTCGCCACCCGAGCAGAGATTAGAAAGAAGACATGAAAGTTTCCTTTCTTGTCCTTCCTTTTTGCTCATTCACTATGACAAATGCAAATGACATCTCAAAAATGCCATCTGCCTCCAGCCTGTGCCATGCTCTCTGCACAGATGGGACCCAGATCTGATTATAGGGTGTCAGATATTTCATCCCAAGGAGCCGTTAACAAAATTGGGTTGCTTTTCCTTACAGGTATCTATAAATCAGCTGTCAAGACTTCTTTATAAATATATCAAATGTTACACATCCACACTGATGCTACCCTTTTAAGAGATGGCTTGGGAGGATAGGCCCTAATTTTAATACCAATACGTGAAAACATTTCTGGAAGTTCTCCCTGGAACTGACTCCAGAGCTCTCTATTCACCACTGACTGAATGACTGATGAATGCCAGGCATCCTCCCCTGCCAGGAACTGGGCTGTGATGGTGATCAGAGCATAAGTCCTTCTCTCTAATGTTATCTCATGGAGGGAACAAACATATAAGCAGGTAAATTACAACTCAGTAAGTATTAGAACAAAGCTACACACCAGTATAGAGAAAGAAGTCATTGACTATCACTAAAGGACCTGGGAAAGCCAGCTTCATGAGGGCATGATCTGAATGGATGAATGGCTGAAGAGTGGGGAAGACAGCTAAGTAGACAGACCAGCAGGTCTAATGCCTACAACTGTAAAAGCGTGCAGTATATTCAGAGCGCTGAGAGAGAAATGTCACGTGGCTGAGGAAGAGGAAAGATGGGAAGCGAGGTTGTAGAGGAAGGACAGGCTCACACTGGGAAAAGACCTTGATAAATAGGTCAATGTGTAAAACTGATAAATCTTTACAGACTTGATCTCATCTTCACAGCAGTCATAAGAATCAATAATAAATTCGATAATGGGTGAACATTTATTAAATTATTACTATGGACCAGAGAGAGTATGTATAATACTTTAAATGTATCATTTATTTAACCTTCCAAGTAACCCCATGAGCTTGATACTACTGTGGTCCATTTTATAGAACTGAGGCTTAGAGAAGTTAAGTAACCTGCCAAAGATCATATAGCTAGTAAGCAGTCAAGTCAGGATACAAATCTAGATCCGTCAGGCTCCAAAGCCAAGAGCCTTTGCATTGAAGCAGTTATTCAGCAAAAAGGTGAAAATATGAAATCAGGATATTGTATTTAAAATCATGAGACAATTATGAAGGAGAAGCAGTAGAAGGTGAGAGATAAGGAACAGCGAGGCACCTAGGTTTACTGCCAGTCTTTGAACTTGAGAGTCTAAATGGATTGCCTTTTACTATTTTCATAATAAGTACAGGAGGAAGCAGACTGGGTTTGTGAGAAAGAGACCAACGAATTACGTTTAGAACATGCTAAATATGATTATCTACAGACTATCCAGGTGAAAAAATAGTCCTGAAAGTCATCAACGTGTGGACGGCAGCTGAAGGCCTGGGTACAGGTGAAACATTCAGGTAGGACATAAGAGTGACCCAATGACAGAACTGGGAAACACTGGGGAACACTGAAACCCAAAGGGAAACCAGTGGAGAAAGAGCAGTGCAGAAGAGAGGTGGGAGGTTGGCTGAGCGAGAGAGTGTGATGCCCAGGACGTCGAGGAAAGAAAAGATGGGAAGAAGTATCTGCTTCCTCAAAAGTTATTTCCTTTCCTTTGCTCCACACCCTCCTCTCATCCTACCCAAGAAGGGCCTGGAGCAGATGCAGGCACCGGGGGCAAGCTCCATCTCTCTCAATCTCTCTTCTTTCTTATGGCTCTTTCTCCTCTGATGGAGTATCCACAGTGCCATGATGAGATCTGAGGTTTGCTTTTGGGTAGAGGTAGGGATAGCAGGCCTTTGGCTTCTCCAGTTGTAGGACACTTAGACATCTCTGGCTTAAAACAAAAAGGAGGCCCCGCAGCATCCAATTGAACTCTACAATGGACTTGGGGAACCAAAGCCTCAGTGGGTAATCAAGTACATTTGCTTTGCTGTGCTTTAGATTTTGTATGTGATATGTCTATGTGTGTGTACATAAATGTATATATGTATATAAAGCTATATATTTTAGTATTCTATTAGAATCTAGAATTTCTCTGGTTACTTATCACATGTATAACGAAATAATTTTGTAATTAGTTACTTAATATCTTTCTCTCTAAAATGTAAGCTCTATGATGGCAAAGACCAGGTTTATCTTTATCCCCAGAACCTGATACAGTGCCTTGGACATATATTTTTTAAATATTTATTATTTGGTTGATTGGTCGAATGAATGGATGGATAGATAGATGATCAACAATGCTAAATGTTGTAGAAGAGGAATGAGGACTGAAACTAGAACATGAATTTGGCATTTGGGTGGTTGTTAGTGACTTTGGTGACAGAACTATCTATAGTGAAGTGGGGGTGTTGGATGTCTGATTCTCGTTCAGATGGCTGAGAAGGGAATAGGATGGGGGTGGGGCGGGGAACAGAGAGCATAGACTACTCTTTCAGAAGTCTCATTGTAGGCAGGGACTGCTCTAGTATACTCTCTTGGTTTCCAATTTTATATCCTTTTTCTTTATTTTTGGAAATAGTGAAAGGTCATACAGAATAAATTCAGGTGACCTGAACAGATCGTCAAGCTCAATGTCATTTCTAGTCAAAAACAGTATCTGATTTAAAAAGTAATATGACTGATCCTCTAATATGACTCATAAACTACCTCCAAAGGCAATTCCCAAACAAAGATTACACAACAGACAGATTTTGATAATGGCAGCATCATCAGAATGAGTGTCTGGCTTCACAAGGTGACTACTTTGAATAAATGCATGTTGGAATAAATTCAATGATAAGAGTTATGTTATGTTTCCTTTCTTTTTTTTAAAGTCTTTAGAAGCACATAAAATAGGTAGAAGTAGCATGGCTTAGAGTAGCGATTTCTAAAATACATTATATAATATTAGGATGATTTCTGGTGGTACTTGAATAAATTTTTATGTTTGCTTTGTATTGATTTTTGTGTATATTACAAAAAAACACCTAGTTCATCAAATACAAGGTATCATATGTATTACAAAGTGTCCTTGATCAATAAATTGAAATTATAAACTTATTTTAAGTATAAATTGTTTTAAGAAACTTATTAAGCTAGTAATACTTTTGTTATAGCAAACATTGTCAGGTTTGTATACAAATAATTCAAGTTTGGAAAACATTAGCATAGGAGAGAGATCGTGGGCTTTAGGGGCTAACAGACCTGAGTTCAAATCCTGACTCTGCCATTTACTAATTACTGAATGACCCTGTGAAAGTTGTTTAACTTTCTTGAGTTTCAGATTACTCACCTACAAAATGAAAATAAAGCTTAACTTCACAGAGTTTTTCCAAGGACAAAATAAAATCAAGCATTAAGGCCTCTAGCAGAGCTCTGGGTGTGTAAGTTGGTGTGCAATCAACAGCAGCTATAATGCTTGGCAGTCCAAACATTATGTACATATTCAAACAAATCCCAGCCACATGGCTATTTATGTAAATGTGTCCATGTATCCCAGCTGACCTTTCTTTTCCATCTGAGCTGCCAAGTGAGCACTCACTGAGCTAAAGAGGAGGGTCGACAAAAAACAGAAGAGGCAGAGGGTACCAAGAAGCCTGGAGGCAGTTGGACTCAGTGCCTGAGTCAGGTTAGGGGGCTCAGAAAGATTCCCAGCTGATAAACAGTCATATTCCAATAGAGATGTTACGATTCTAAGAGCATGGACGGAGTGAGCATCAACCTTATAATTATTAACTCATGTTCTAAACAAAAAACGCCAAATGACCTGTGCAGAATGAAAGCCAGGGACAATCTTATCAAGAATGAATCAACCTCTTTGATCTTGAAGTAAACCAACTCACTAAACAGCAAGCTTCCATCTGGGGTTTTTCCAGACACTAAAGTGGTTGCCTAATTCTCAACTGTCTGGAGTTTCCAGTCCAAACTGGTCTTTAAAAAAAAAAAAAAAAAGAGCCCTACCATCTTCCTTGAGTTCACACTCCATTAAAAACACATACAGATGCGTGCTACTAATCCAAAGAAATAGGGGCTCTAAAAACATTTTTAACTAAAAATAACCCAGGTAAAATGAAGATAAATTATTCCACTCAATTCAGAACTAAACATTCAAGTATAAGAAGATGGGTCAATGAAATAAAAACAGAGAGCAGAGGTAGAAGGAATTCAGAAGTTAGGCAGAAAAGTAGAAGATGGGGAAAAATCTCAAAAGTGAACACTGAGAAAGGTAAATACAAAATACATAGAGGGAGTTGGAACAGGAGGGGAGGCGGGAAGAAATGGGTGAAAAACAGAGAAAAGAAGGAAGAAGGGTGCGAGCCATGGTAATCAGTATCTCTCACTACAATTCCAGAAGCCTCTCCGTCCTACCCACCTGGTGATCATGTGCAATACACCATGAATTAATCAGTATGTAAATCACCCCCTTTATCTGTGGAAATTGAATTTAGCTGCCAATCTTGATTGAGGGCATAGAGGCCTCCTCACAGAAAGATAACAGCTCTCACAGAGAATGCCTTTTCTCTCCTTAAATCAAAGCTTGCATAAACCCATAGAAACAGCTGCAGCTGGAGCCACAGTCTCTGTGAAAGGTGGCAGGCTGAGGATGGTAATTATAATTAGCAGTTACATAACGTGTTTGTTCTTCAAAGCGCTCTACGAGCATCAGCTAATTAATACCTTACTATGCCCCATGCAGATCCACTGATTTTTCATGTCGTAACTAATCTTTGTACCCCCCACTGAATCCTGAATGGTGGAGGCAGAGGAGCGTGAGCAATGAAGCAAATGGCTGGGTCTAGAAGCTATGCCCAGCTCTCTTACCAAGTGATCCCATAGATACCTCTGGGTAAGGAACACATTCCCAAATGCGGAATTCTGCAACCCATGAGGCAGCTGCCTCGCTTACTCCAAATAACTCGTAAAAGTGCTGTTAGAGGTGCAACAATAGGTTGGAATGGCTATCAGTCTGGTCCAATAAGGCATTAGCTCTTCTCAGTTTCCCTGATTATTAAGACTGGAAGCCTAGAGTCCTCAGTGTCAGTTATAGGTTTGCCTTTGTTTCTCCGTCCAAATTGGGCAAGTCAATGAGACCTCTCTAGAGATCTCTGGGTTATCATCCGCGTCGACCCTTCGCTGTTTCTATGATGGCAGTCCTTAGCCTACATCTCCCTCCATTTGTGGTAGAGATGACTGAATGTGGGAACTGCATGGCACAGACAGGCCTCAGCCATGAAGGTGAGTTCTCCATCTTCTCCAGGAATGCTTTACCCAAGGACTTCCAGAGGTCATGAACACCGTGCATTTGTAAAACATTATACATATATGTGTGTGTGCCTTTGGAGAAAAGTCTGTTTTCTCAATTGCCCTGTAAATTCTAAGAAGGTAGTGTCTAGCAAAGTACCTCATAAATAGTGTATGCTAAATAGGTATCTATTGAATGAATTGATAAATTTAGTCAAATTCATATCCCCAAATGGTTATGAACCATGGCTCAATGGACAAATCAGCAGCAGCAGTCCACGTGTTTTGCTTGCTCTGGCTAGACTTTCCTATGGAAAACCTTGATTGGCAAAACCCAAAGCATTCTATCACAATTCTGCTGCAAGTCAAACCGGAGACCCAGACCAAAGCAATCTTAAGATTTCACGCTTAAGAGATCTGTCTTCATAACCAAGGACCAACCTCCCTCAGCCCAACCATCACAAATGGTAAGAATCACTGTCTTTTCCAACCTTGTTCCTTGGAGGCACAGGTGTAAGATAAAGCATATGGAGATCTTTAAGCAAGGCTAACAATTTCAGTGAAAGACCTAACATGTTCTCCGTGCTTTAAACTTTTCAAAATGCTCCCCATAAACTATCTCATTTGATTCCCTCTCAACAACTCTTTAAAGTAGAGAAAGCAGACTTTATTTCTCCACTTTTATAGATGAGGAAACTGAGGCTTAGAGAGAATAATGCCTTACCTGATGACACACAGTTTAATACACGGCACTGGTAGAATTTGAACTGTAGTCCCAAAACTCTTTTCACCAATTATTCCATTTTAAGGTGTATATCCAAAAGAATTGAAAGCAAGGTCTCAAAGAGGTATCCATATACCCATGCTCATAGCAGCATTATTCACAACAGCCAAAAGGTAGGAGCAACACAAGTATCCATCAGTGGATGAATGGATAAACAAAATGTAGTACATACATAAATGTAAGATTATTCAACCTTTAAAAAGACGGCAATCCCGCCATTTACAACAACATGAATGAACCTGGAGTACATTATGCTAAGTGAAATAAACCAATCACAGAAGAACAAATATTACATGATTCTGTTTACATGAGATAATTAGTCAGACTCACAGAAATAGAAAGTATAACGGTGGTGCCAAGGGCTGGGAGGAGGGGCGGTGGGGAGTTACTGTTTAATGTACATGGAGTTTCAGTTTCAGAAGATGAAAAAATTCTGCAGAATAGTTGCACAACCACATGAATATATTTAACACTTAAAAAATGGTTAAGATGGTCAATTTTATGTTGTGTTTATTTTTACGAGAATTAAATATTAAAATAAACATTGAAAACCTCTTTTTTATTATACCTACTCTGAAAAGCTGTCAACATGTGCTAAGTTAGGACTTTTAAGTATGGCCCCTGAGAAAATGGTTCATGAAGAAAAATTCCTCAGCCAGCCAAGCAGAGGAGACAGGAATCACTGTGATTTAAAGTGACTTTCAAAAAAATAAAGTAAAAAAATTTTTAAAAGTGACTTTCAAAAGATAGATGCATAACATTTTCTATCTAACTTATTTTCCTAATCCACTTTCTAAATCTTCAGGATTTAGCTGACAAACTTAAAGCCAGGTGCCCACCTAGGTAAATGGCACCGCCAGACGCAGTACACAGAGTGACGCAGGAACTGAAGGGCGTTAGGTCCCATGCTCCCGCTGGCCATCTGCTCCTAGGATAGGAGCCCCGAAGAACGGAGTCTATACCTGTGCATGTCAAAGTACTTTCTCTCCAGGTGCCTTTCTCCGTGCAAACGGAAGTGATCTCTCCTTGACGGCTCTCGAAGCCCTCTTGACACACATAGTGAGCCACGCTGCCCAGGCTGGAGCTGTGATTCCCCAGCAGGACCGCGTGTGGCACTTCTGGAGGGCGGCCGCAGTCGATCTCTGCAATGGGAAGAAGCACAGCACAGCACGAGTTATGCCTTCCCCTACCTCTACCCCACCCCCGCTCGGCTTCTACCCCTATAATTCGTACTGTGGAAATAAACATCTAGTCCGCTCGTATGGGAAAAGAGAAAACACTGACCCCATCGAATAATCCAATTGCAGGTATATAAAGTAAGACTGTTCAGAAATAGAGTAAATAGGTATGTCTGATTTCAATGAAATTTCCAAACACTTATACATAAAAAATATTCCAACTGTGAGATTATTTATATTATAAAGAATTCCTTGGTCAATGAAATAATCTATCTCAGGGTTCTTTTAAATATTAAGATTTTCTGGTAACCTTTTACTATATATCTTCAGATCATTAACTCCTGAGTAGATGATAATGAAATTATAGTTTTGTTGCCAAATGAATATTAAATGAAATATCTACAAAATCTCTGAACTTTTTAAAAGTAAATTAATAGGGAAGGTATTTATAGTCTAAACATTTAATTTACATGCACCTTTCAGAGAAAGAATCAGTTGCATAGAGGCAGACAAACCTGGAATTATAAAATTGATATAAAATTTCTTCTCTGCAACTCTGACTACTAAAAGACCCTGGAATATTTACAGAGAACTATCTGAAGGAAAAGAATTATGACATTACCATTTTTGACCCAGCCAAATGCTATTTCACATAACAGTAAAAGAAAGTCATTTTCAGATATTTTACAGTTTTAAAAATTTAATGTATAACTTTCCTGAAAAAAAATTTTATAGCTAACAATGTAATAATACCAATAATTTCAAAATAAAATTCCAAATTATTGCAACAAAATCTGAGCAGTGAAGTGAAGAGAAATAAAACACGCTACATTTCTCATGCAGTCGTGGGGAGCTCATAGATACAATTTTATTTAAGAAAGCAGAATAAATATAAAATAAGGTGATCATACTCATTCTAAATGTAACCAATAGTCCCAGTTACACCTAAATACCGAAAGAAAAAATATGTGACATTTGGCATTCATTCTGATCTTTATTTTTCTCCCCAATCTGTAGAAAGCCAAGAAAATTAAGCACTCCTGACATCTAGGCTTCTAAAACATAACTCCATTTATTGTGAGAAAGCATTCCAAATAGAGAAAATGGTGTGATCTGTTCTGAACTCCTCGTCAACCATTCTTGGCCTTAGAAATAGGTGGCTTCTCTTAAATGAGCCTCCAATACAGAATTGGTGGATTTAATGGAATTGCACTCTTCTCCATCCCATGACGGACGCTTGGTCTGTTGCAGAACCCGAGTTATTTACCCGAGGGAGGCCTCCCAGAACAGAATTTCATCTGTTGTCACAATTATTGTTAAGACCCTCGATAGAACAGCTCAACCTATTTGACCCATTGCTTGGCTTGGAATATTTTTAAGTCAGTCTCTGGTCAGTGCAGATTCAGATCATTGGCAGTTATGAGACCAGAACGAAGTGGTCATTTCATAAATTCTCCAACCCTGTCTACCTCTTAAGTTCCATGTTTGCTCACAGGGATTTGTTGCCTTTTCATATATGTTTACCAGACACAAGACTCCTTGGCCCTCATCATGTTTTCCCAGCATCAAACCTTTAGACATTGACTGGCCCCAAACATTCCAAGACAAGAGTATATTTGTGTGTAAATGAGCAACCAACTGAACAGGTGGTTAATGTTTCATAAGACTGCCCAGTCATTGTTGACATCTAAAACATCTTCTAGTTTAAGCCAGGGTTCAGTTACAGCAGGAAATAGAGGGAGCATTAGTAAAGAGATTGAGGGTATGGGTTTAAGTAGGTTTATAAACCTTGAAGCTGGAATTCTAAATATCACATTGGAGCAGTCTGAGAGGGAATCCAGAGAAAGGTAGTTGGAATAAGGGAGAAGCACAGATACTAAAGGGATAAGAGCACAGAAAATAACTAAATTGGTTTCTCTCTTGGACAATGGAAGGCATGGTGGCTTTAGTTGGGATGATGAGATTTTTTAAAATTAATACCAAAACTAATAATTTGGGGGTTGATGAGAGATCAGTAGCTTGGACTCCAGACACTAAGGTTCAGAGACTCAGGTAGATACCCAGTGGTAGGCAACCTGGACCTACAACTCTGAGTTCCTAACACAGAGCTTTTCAAATTGAACAGTGTCTTGGCAAGGGATACACAGAGAGGATTCCAGCATGGCTTGGATTAAACACATGGTTCTAAACAATAACTGTACACCTGCCTGGCTTGGGGAGCTTTTAACAAGCACACGTGCTAGAGTCTCACACCCCCCTATTCACACCCAGAGTTAACTCTTTTGAATTAGTAGTATTGAGTTAAGTTCTTGACATCCACATTTCTACAAAGCTCCAAATTTGAGAATTTATAAAGTAAATCCTGGTAAGAATGGCTACTATTTATCATCACATGCATCTCAATACGGCACTGAGTATAAACCATTATTACTCACAATAACCCTCCATGCTGGGCATTATTTTCCTTGTTTTACAGGTGAAATGGCTCAACATAAATAACACATCCAAAGTCACACTGGTTATGTAATGGCCCGGAGTTGAATCCACATCAACTGTATTCCTTCTCCTATACCCACTGCCTCTCAAGAGCTGCTCTGTCTCTGAAATCCTACAGTATCTGTCCCTCTCACCTTTTTCTTGCTCATACTCTTTCTCCTCTAGGTACATTCTTTCTCCCTCATACCTAGCAAAATCCTTCCCAATGACTAATCTGCTTTGTGACTAACAGAGGGATCCCTTCTTCCTCTAACTTTTGTGGCCCATATTCACTTGTTCATTTATTAATATATTTATTAAGAACCTAGAACACGCCAGACACTATGCTGGTCACTACTGCAATGAACAAAATGGACAAGATCACTGCCTTCATACAACTTAGGGAGAGAAGAAACAGACGAAAGTAAAATCAACAAGACAATTACAGATTGTGGCAGATGTTATGTAAGAGCTAAGCTACTATGATAGGATGGGAATGACTTCTTCAATGAAGCGGTCAGGAATGGTTTGATCTCTCTGAGGAGTTAAGGACCTGAAGCATGAGGATGAGCCAGTCATGTTTAGGACCAGAGGGAAAACATTTCAATCAAACAAAAATAGCCAATGTGAAGACCCTGATGTGAAAAAGCTCTTGGGGTGTTCCAGAAAGGGAAAAGCAACCTGTTGGCTAGAGCACAATAAGCAAAAGGGAGAGTGGCATGAGACAAAGGCGGAGAGAAAAGCAGGGCCAAATCACACGGGGCCTTGTAAGCCTTAGGCAAGAGCTTGAATTTTGAGAGTAGCTGAATGCCCATAGAGGGTTCTAAGCAAAGGAATGATACAATTTGATTTAGGTTTTTAAAAGACCAGTTGACTGTTGGGTAGAGAATGGATGGGAGAAGAACAGGAGTAAAAGGAGAGAGGTCAGTTAGGGTCGATAGCAGTAATCCGACAGAGAGATGATGCGTTCTTGGATGTACTTGAGAGGTGAGCTGGAGATGGAAAGAGGATGGATCTGAGATGTATCCTGGAAGCGGAACCGTGTTCTTGGTGATGCGCGGCACGTGAGAGTGAGAGAAGAGGAAGAATCAAGAATAATTATCTACCCCATTCATTAGACCTTTACTACCTGCTTGAGGATTTAGTGTCTTTTTGTAAATATATTATATCTTTCCAAATATATGAACAGTTCATAAAGGACAGAATCTTTATCTTATAATCTCTTGCACCCTACTCAATAATAGTATGTTTTACACAGTAAATATTCAAGTTGTTTATTGGCAGCTTGCTACTACCTTATCACTATACAGGATGCAATAAGTGTTACTTTGATATAATAACAGCCCCAAGGAAGAAAACAGACATCAGTAAGTTGTAAATACAATAACAGGACAGAAGACATTATCTCTATATTTGTTATCCAACAGAGGTAACTCACACCTACCAAACACCAAATAGATGAAAGCTAAGAAAAAGATCCATAAAAACTAATATCAGTCTTGTACCAGAGAATTCTGGGAAAGTTATTCAAACCTCAGTAATTTTAATCATAATAGCATTCATCGAAATCCTAAACACTGGGACTGTTAGATACACACTATCTTATTTATGCCTCACAGAAAATCCTGCAAGGTAGATGGCTTTTTCTTATGTAGCTTACAGATGTGAAAATGAAGGTCTCAAGAGCTTAAGTCACATCAAAAGTCATACCACTAGTAAAAGATAGAGGTAGTATGGGAACCATGGTTTGTGTGACCCCAAAGTCCAGATCCATTAAGTATAGGCAGCCTCACAATGAAGGGGCCTGACTGGGACTGACCTTACAGGTTAGCTAATACCACAGGAGAGAAGGCTGCATGAAGGAACATTCAGATCCATCTGCAAGGGTTCAATGACAACTGCCTCTGCCCGATCTTGTCCCCAAGAACTTTCTCAGAGCAAGAGAGTTGCTAGAAATAGACTTCCCCTGCAGCTGTGTGACTTCCTGATGCTTTCTTGGTACAGATGTTTAACCCCATGATATGGAGGTCTGGCCTGGAACATAACCCTGCCACAGACATTCCTGCCATGCTTAAGAGAGATGGCAGCCATTGCCCCTTCTACTCAGACCAAGTTAGACCCCAGAAAGCAGGTGGCTCCTATTAAGAAATATTCAAAAATCAATCCAACAGAGGCTATCATAGGTAATAAAAATGTAGTTCTACATGAAAAACCCCAAAGCTCTCACTATCACAGGGAAATAAACCATTTAGAAACAGTTTATATCCAAAGGAAAGAAAAAATAAGCCTCACAAATTTTGCACTGCATATGCATAGGGGTGTTCATTAAAGCACACGGTTCTCTGGCTAATTACATTATTAAGTAACAACGTTTGGATCTGCATCAGGAATACAGTCCACTAATTATGAACACGGCTGGCAATTTTTCCTTACTACCCTATTATCTGTGATTTTATTCAAATAATCAACTTCAAAACAGGACTCCCTGT